TATTCAATTCCATAATTTTTGTATTTAATTATCTCAGTATTGGATATATGAAGCCTTCCCACATATTGGAAAAACATTTGGATGACGTAGATACAAAACCTTGCAATGTCCAAGAATGAATAGATGGAAACCAAATAGATTTTGGACAGAGAACATAATCAGGCAATTTCTAGATAATGAAGAGGTAGTTAAATTATTTAATTATATTTTTTCATCAACTATTATATTTCTTTATCTTTTTCTAACAAATCATTTGAAGATTTGAATTACAGATTCAAGCAATTCCAGTTTTAGACCCTACAGAAGAAGAATTGCAGACTGTATGGTATACAACCCTTTCACTTCTAGATGACAATCAACATAATGTATTGGATGCCATTGCAGGTAAAGATATAAACAATCTAACAGAAGAAATGCCTCAAAATATGCTTCCATGTGGCCCAAGTTCTAGCTCCAATTACAGTACTGCAGCTGACGGAAGTTCTAGCTCCAACTACGTCACAAAAGAAGATATGGAGAAAATGTTACAACACGTAGTATCAAACGTATCAGACTTGTGCAACAATTTGGAAACAAGCATTATTCAACAACAAGAAAACCGTTGTCAAGCCATTCTTTGCAACCAACAACATTTATTCAAAGAACAGCAAAAATGGCAACAAAACTACTTTCAACAACAACACCACTCACAACAACAACAGTATCAAGACATACAGTCTAACATACAGAATTACATAGATACAAGTTTGATTTCAGTGAAGAGTTACATAGATGAAGAAAATACCAATATCACCAATACAATATCAGACTGGAAAACAAATATGGAGCATATCATGGCTTCCATCCAGAAAGATATTCATTCTCAACAAAGTGTAATTCCAAAGGACACTTCAACATCTCAACAGGCAGAAGAGGTTCAAGAGGAGATTCAAGATGTTAAAACATTAACCAAAAACAAAAAACGTCAAAAATCTTGGGCAAATTATGCATTTGAAAGTTATACCTTGGAAGATTACGATATGGAAAGATATACTGTCCTTAGAGATTGGATATCAAAGAATCCACCAGGGTAAACAATTAAACTTAAATATTTACATTTTAATTTCATTCATTTAAAACTAATT